TGTCAATGCCTTTAAAGTTTTCCTTTTCAATGTTTTCAAAGCTCTGTTTTCTGTTATGCAGTTGCCATATGAAAATGAAACAAGGGGGTGGGGATGAAAAGCAGAAACCTGCTTTTAATAGCTGACCCCGAGCTGGCGTGAGTCATCAGTGACTTCTTCAGGCCTGAGCGGAGAACTGAGATAGGGCTATTTCTCTGCCACTCCGTAAGAGGCCAAATGAAACATGATGGCTGCCCTGTGGAGCTCAGCGGCCCTCACCTGCAGTCTGGACACGCCAGGGGCACAGAGGCTTTGGATTCTTCCTGACAGACAAGATTATTACTCTCTGCATTATAAATAAGAAAATAATTATCTCTTTAGCTTGCAGATTTATGTTAATGACATAGATATCTATTAAATTAATTGTATGCTCTCCAAATATTGATTGGGGATTAAAAGGTAACTTTCCTTCATTGTGTTGAGAAATCAATTAGGCCAGTAGAGAAATTCCCCTCTACAGATTAAATCCGATGATCGCCGTCTGTAAAATTACAACAGTCAGTTTAAGTGGATAAACTACACTCATTTGAAGAGAAAAATGCACTTATATAATTAAAATGAAAAGGCTGCCCAATCTCTGTGGATAATGTGGTTACTTGGAGCTGCAGGCACAGACGTCGCCATTCAGAGTGGATGGCTGTTCCCTTGCTCTCCCTGAGCTCCGGATTTGTCATCTTGGAAACGCTGCGAGCAGCTGACGCTCTCTCAGTTACTGCTTGCCAAAAGTCTCAGTCATGTGTCCCTTTCCTCATGCCTCAGCTGCAATAATCCTGTCTAGAGATTTGCTCTGTCTCATTTCCTAAGCTTTCCCCAGACTCAAGAGGCAGAGATTATAATTTTGACCAGAGGGTGAGACACGCACTAGGATTCCTCTCTCTTCCAAGTCCACCATGGAATTCCTTTAAGGCACAGAACCACTCATGGGAAGTCTTCTGATTCCTTCACAGTTTTCCAGGGGACAGTTAACTGGTGGAATCTACTACATACACATCCAAACCAGGAATCTGTTCTCAGATCTGCTCAGACCTCATCAAGTGAAGGATTCTAAGAGTCTTTATGACAGAATGCTTTCATTTCAAGGGTGTCACAGCCACCTTATAAAGTAAACCTTGCCATAGTTGAGGACACAAAATTCTGTTATCTCTGAGAGATACAGTGAGGAGATCCCATTCTCTTGGCTTTGGTGGTGTCAGCTGGAAATGGCTGAGAAAACCTTGTAACCTTAATAATGCTTGACATAAATGTCAAGCATAAAATGAATGTGTGTAGGAAATGTGTATAGAACTTCCATGCAGATAGTATAGACACCTTTTTCCCCCTCAAGCAGGCATGGTATCTGTAAATTCATGTATAGCTGCCTTATAATCTTAGGTCTTATTTTTCTCCTGTCACTCAACATGTTTATTTAATGTTTGGGATTAGAAAAAATATCTGTGTTTAGTAAGAGAAATAAAGGCAGAACAAAGGTCATCTTTGCTTTTGGATGTTAGTCCGTAGGCCCTTAAATCCCAGTTTAAGCCAGTGTTCTATGTTTATTTATGCATCCATTCAACAGAGAGAACCTCTACTGAGCCAGACAGACTCTGTTCTCAGCGATTTTTCGGTTTTGTTGATAGGAATAGCTACTGTCTAAAGTAAACACATGCACTGTAACCAAAATTAGAATGAGGTCCCCGAGAAAGGGTAATTAATATTACTGAGAAAAGGACATGCCATGGTCTCTCTGAGAAAGTAACTTTATGTACTGTACCTTCAGGAGCACAGGTATCAACTAGGCAAAACACAGAGCAGAGGCCTGTGGAAGCCCTGAGGAAGATGAGCATGGCTTGATGGAAGAACTGAAAGAGGCCCATGAGACTGAGTGCTGGAATAAGCTCAATGAGAAGGGGGAGGTGTGGACAAGACTGGACTGTGGAGGCTGGTAGAGGCCATGGTATGAGCATTTCATTTCTCTCCAGGAGGAATAAAAATCTCTATTTTAGATCAGAGCTTGCTGAACTAAGAGCACTTGCTGCTCTTGTGTGGGACCCATGCTTGGTTCCCAGCACACACACTAGGCTGCACACTAATGCCTGTTAACTCCAGTTCTAGGGGATCTGATGCTTTCTCTGGTCTCCATGGTTACTGCATGCATCTGGTAACCATACAGACAGCAAGATACACATATAAATTAAAAATAATAGTTTTAAAAAATAAATGATTTGATCTGATATGCATTGTAAAAAGATCACTGAGTACCAGATATTACAGAGGTTGGAGAACATCAAGATGACAGTTCACACAAGGCTGGTTTAAATTAGTTAGGATGGAAAGAGGCAGGCAGACTAATATTTAATTTTGGAAGTTACATTTACAGGAGTTAGAGAAGAAAGGCAGATCTGACTGAGGGAGAAGGATGTTATAGTCATATTTTATTTATGTTCTAACAAACCTTGTCTAAAGATCAGAGTGCAAAGCTAGCCACACTAGTTAGTCAAACAGGCCAGGCAGCGGTGGCACACACCTTAAATCCCAGCAGCCACACTAGTTAGCCACAGAGGCCAGGCGGTGGTGGAGTACGCCTTTAATCCCAGCACTAGAGAGGAATATAAGGCAGGATGAGACAGGAACTTATGCTCTTTAGAGTCTGAAGATTTTGTAGAGGTAAGAGCCCTCTAGTGATTGGCTGCTTTGCTTCTGATCCTTCAGCTTGAATCCCAATATTTGTCTCTGGGTTTTTATTAGTCGTGCTACAGGATGTGAAATGCTGTCTTCAGGTCATGCTATAGCCATCACAAAAACCCTGATCTCACAGCAGCTACAGTAACCTAAACTGGGAAGGCCCAAGAATGGGCCTGCCAACAGCCAATCATGGGTCAGAAAGGACTCATGGGACGCCCATCTTTTCCCTGCTGAACTACTGGCAACTGATGAAATCTGGGGGGCAGGGGAGACAGTCATTGTTTTTACTTGCATACTAAAAAGTGAGCCCACCAGTCTCTAAGGCAGAATAAGCATAATACACTACATACACATATGGAATTATTAAATAAACTTAATCAGTAAAAACAGTGGGGGAGTTATGATTTTGTGATTACATAAGAGTATACTTTAGATCCAAATAGAACAGCTTAATATAATTAATGTCGATAATTTAACTTAAATTATCATATGCAAAAACATTGTTTGGAGTCTTTTTGATTACTGTGTAAAAATCATTCATTCTGAGTGTTCCTTTTACAAAAACATAGACAAAGGTTGAAACACAAGACTAAAGGGTCTGACCAGTACAGTACAGTGTTACCAAGGACTGTAGACTGGGAAGTAGACAATAAAATGAACGATTCGGTTGACTTTAGAGAATGTGAATAGTACAACATTAATAATGAGTTTCTTTTTTTTTCTTTTTCTTTTTATTAAAATTTATTTATTTATTAAGGATTTCTGCCCCCTCCCCGCCACCGCCTCCCATTTCCCTCCCCCTCACCCGATCAAGTCCCTCTCCCTCATCAGCTCGATACTGAGAACTCAATAATGAGTTTCTTAAATTGCATTTTCACTGGAAGTATTTCCTGCAAACAGTTCTAGGAAATGTTTAGCCTGTGAATCCTTTCTCTAATATAAACTATCCACAAATTGCGTGCTTAAACCCATTTGTACCTAGCTGAGCCTCTCAGTGGTATAAAATAGAGGTGAAATCATTTCTTTTAGTCACATAGATGAGAAAACGAAATTAGAAGTGCATCTGTTTTACATTTCTTCGATGACTGCTGAGCTCTGGGGATCTGACTGCCTGGCATAGACATCTAGACACAAATTATTGCATCTCCAAAATTCTCGAAGTCTAGGGGTCCCTTATGCTCAGCTCCTCTTCCTCTCTAGGGATGATCTCTGTTTGCCAACTGGGTTCCTAGATTCATGGAGTCTTCTTGTACCCGGTGCCTTAGCTTGTCTCAGAAATAGGAGAAGCCTTCTGTGACCCCATGTGAATGCTTACGTTCTGCTCAGCCACACGTCTTAGTAACGTTCCTCTGGATCTTCTCTCCCCTTGGCTTGCTCTCTAGAAACACTATTTGTATTTGCATGCCTAGACAGCAAATCACACACACACAACATTTCATGACACCTTCGAATCAAGTTCACGATTTCAAAATCAATTCCGTGGCACATGCATTCAGCCCAGTCACATAAAGATGACAGGAAAAAAGAGAACCCTCCAAACTGTCTCTCTAACCTACCCTGTTCGTCCAAATTCAACAAAAGGCAATGTAGGTGACAGGGGCAAATGAAAGGAATGCAGGAAAATCTGTCTTCAGTGTTTTGAAACCTGCTTTAAGATAGAAATGTTTCCTGAGATACAGAAGTGAATGTGATGAATGCTAAGTGGATATTTTTTCACCTTAACTGACTGATCAGGAGACTATTTATAGCCCCCCTGACTGATGTCTCAAGCTGGTAAATCAACAGCAAGGGAGACTATTTCAAGCACATTTATCATTTAAGACAAACAGCCGAGACCGCGCGTGATTATTTTTTATTCATCATCTTCGCTCACCTCTGTGCTCGCTCCTTCTCACTGTTAATAATATCTGTATAAGGCTCCTCAATATTTAATGGTACAGCCTCCCCACTGCATGCTGATGAGTGTAAGGTCACATGTTTGATCTCAAGAAGGCCGGTTATCTTTTTGCAAAAGATGTAAAAAAAAAGGGGGGGGGGATCTGCATTTCCTAGGGAAGCCTGATTCTATCAGTTTTGTTAGAAACACTATTGTTGGTCTCTATGCCATTAAAGGAGAAATCACAAAATGAAAGCTTTTAATGGGAACAGAGCTCAGGACGTTTCAATAGACTGGCCCAACCACACAGAAACTCAGGAATGGCAGCACAATGCCCGGTATCACAGCACAGCTTGGTTTAGGGTCTCAGTTTACCCTCATCTGTGCCTCATGGACAAGATAGCAACACACAAGAAAACCTTACCTGTTCACTCTCTTCATCGTCACTACTTAGTTTAAGGTCATCTTCAAGCATTCTGAAAAGAGGAACAGAGAGATGCAAACACTTAGATTCAAAATCCTTCAATACTGATTTCTATTCCCCCCACCCTTGTATTGCAAGTCCCCTGATGTACTTAGGGAAGAACAGATAGTCACAGCACGAAAATTAACCCTCATGGCAATCACAGGATGAGATGGGGCTCCCTCAGAGTTGGCTGTTGTAGAAAAACAGAACCAAACAGGGACTGTTCCCTGGGAAGTTTAAATTTCATAACTGTTTATTCAGTGTTTTCCAGGCTTAAGAGCTAGGCTGTGTCCTGAGGCCTGTCTGGGGATGATCATGGTAAAGGAAGTGGGAGAGCAAGCAGAATTCTGCTGAGGGCCATGCAGCCATAGTGTTGAGTCACGAGTGACATTTATTCAGGCCCCTCACAGCGTAAGTGCTGGAGAGAATGCCTACTCCAGGATCTGCTGAGTAGAAGGCAGGGCACTTCTGAAGAGTCCACGAGGCCCTTTCCACAGGTCACCATCCACCATGCGCCCTGACCTGCGGCAAGTCCATGAGGGCCAACAACAGACAGAGAAGTGCAACTGTGTACCCTACTGTTCTTAGTGACAAAACACAGCTCCTATCAGTGTTGTTGCGATTAGCTCTTCAGAGTGCAGCTGTTTCAGATTCGTCCCTTGCCAAGGGGATCTTGCTCAGAGATGCACTCTCTAAAATGTGCGCAGCGCACTCAGAGCTGTTTGCCTAAGAGCAGGGAGAGTCCACTGGCGCAAGCCCAGGGCTCCAGACACTGGTCTGGAAGCTGTTGAGCTCTTGTATCTAAAGACCTCAATGTCTTCCTTTAAGTCAGCTTCTGAAGACTGCTACCAAACGTGCCCATCATAGGCAGGTAGTTCTATTTTAATGCTATTTCAGTGACTTTGGGGGTAAAGTGGGGACCAGGGGCTGTCAGGACATGGACCCAGTTATGAAAAGTTTAAGCTCTGGGGGTAGGTGGCATACGGCACCTTGTTCACCCCATGGAAGGTGAAGGGTATACCTGGCGATCCTGCTTTAGATTCCATGAGTCTAAGAAAACGGTTTCTCCCATCACTCAATGTGGGAAAAAAAAAATCCTTTCTATTTGATCAGAATCATCTAGAAAAAACAACTGCAACTGAACATGTGTGTTTTTTGGCCATTATCTCCTATCCACAGGGCAGAACACAGCATTTATATTGTATTAGTTGTTCTAAGTCTGAAGGGAAGATTTAAAGCTATGGGGAAATGTGAGTTCGTTACATGCAAATCCAATGCCATTCTGTAGAAGGGAGTAGAGTGTTCGCAAATTTTGATATCAGAGGAAGGTACTAGAACCAAACAATCCCCCATGGACATCAAGAGACAACTGTATTTGCTTCTGACAATGTGACAACAGGGTCTCTGAACATTTAAGAAACTCACAGAGGTAAAGAGGCTGAGAAATAAGGATGTTACAACGAAGACTACAAACTAGGCCATGTGCTCTCTTTGAAGGTCTTTGTTGATGTCACCTAGTGACTACAGTAGGGTTATGTATTTTAGCTTCTAAAAGTTGATTGAGGTCTACAGAGGTTAGTAAACAAGCCTGCTAGCCCAGTATCTAGGGAGGCCTGCCCTTGGTTGGTCACACAGGCGGAAGTCACTAAGGTAGACTTTAATGCTGTTTAACAACAGCAAAGATGTTGATAAAAAACACATAATAAAATTAAATTTTGAAAAATTGATACCAGAGACCAGAAGCCTAACCAGAGATACCGAGAAGTGGGATTTTACAATCTTGATGCCTACAGAGCTGTAGACTGCTAGATACAGCAGCATGGTGGCTTCACAGAAGAGTGAGAGACAAGTGACCGAGATTCTTGACACCTCCAGGATGCAGGCAGGACATTTTAACGTACAATGAAGTGACTGAGACTTTATACATTTTTTTTTTTACTTAAAATCTGCTAAGACAACAGTTTCTCTTTTAAAAAATATTGTATGTATGTGTGTGTAAGTATGTGTGTGTGCTTGAATGTGTAAGTGTGCCCTGGTGTGTATACTGCAGAGGGCAACTTGCAGGAGATGATTCTCCTTTTCTGCCATGTGGGTTCTATCTAGGGTTCAAGTTCAGATTGTCAGACTTGGTGGCAAGCACCCTGCCTGCAGAGGCAGACCAAGACAGGTGCCCACTGCTCCACTGCTCAGCCTCACCCTACTCAGGTACTGCTACTCCACGGAGCACGGTTGATGGGAAATTCTTGAGATATTTGTCATATGAGGCTCTCTGAAGACCCTTCAATCCTTTATTTAAAGGTCATTTCATGTTGCTCCACCTTAATGGCTTTAAAACAAATCTGAGTTTAATTGAGCTGTTTGATTTTCAGTATTATTTCTATAGCATGTGCTGCCACTGTCTCTACCTATCTCATATTTAAAGCTGGAGACTATGTCTATTAAACATGAATATTGTCTTCATTAAACATATCACATATGCAAATATATATTCTTGCAATTAGTGTTTCACAGTGGCCTGTCTCTTAGAGTTTCTATGGTGGTTATAAAACACATGACCAAAACCAACCTGGGGAGGAAAGGATTCACTTTATCTTAAAGCTTGTAGTCCAGCATCCAGGGAAGTCAAGGCAGGCACTCAAGGTAGGAACCCAGGGCAGGAGCTGATGCAGAGGCCATACGGGGAGGGGGAGTATTCCTTACTGGCTTGCTTCCCAAGGCTTACTCAGTGTACTTTCAAATACCATCCAGGATTACCAATCCAGGGATGGAATCTCCTACAGTGAGCCACACCCTTCCACATCAATCCATAAATTAAGAAAATGCCAAAAACCGGGCGGTGGTGGCACATGCCTTTAATCCCAGCACTTGGGAGGCAGAGGCAGGCGGATCTCTGTGAGTTGGAGACCAGCCTGGTCTACAAGAGCTAGTTCCAGGACGGGCTCCAAAACCACAGAGAAACCCTGTCTCGAAAAACAAAATAATAAAAAAAAAAAGAAAAGAAAATGCCTAAAAGTCTTGTCCACAGACCAATCTGTTGAAGGCATTTTCTCCATGGAGATTCCTTCTTCCCAAAAGACTCTGTGTCAAGTTGACATAAAACTAGCTAGCACAGTTTGCAACTGATACCCTCTGGGAAAGGGAAAATCAGTTTTCTCTAATGGAGTGTACTGGTATATCAACACAGTCCAGAGCAGGCCCAAGAGTAGTCGACCAATACAAAAAGAACTCCATTTGGGCCTGTTCTTTGTTTTGGCATGGTTTTATCTTATAGGTTTTGGTTTCCCCTTTTGGTTTGGAGGGGTGGGAAGTGAAGGGGAAGGGGAAGGAAGAGGGGGAGGAATGTAGGGAAAGGGAAAATAATCAAAATATAAACATATATAAAACTTTAAAAAACCACCTAGCCAACACAGCCTATCTATCAGACAGGCCTATCCATTACAGGCACTCCTAAGCAGTGCACTCCATGCCTTAGAACACTGGAGGAAGTAACAGGCATCTCATTTTATTCCTTCTGAAGTCCTGTGCTCTGTCGGTTATTCTCTACCACCTGGCTGGGTAATTTTCATTAACAAATGATTGCCTTCCCATCTGTGGTTATTTGGAACAGCTTTTGCCGATAGCATTCTGGGGAACTGGGAAGGCTAGAGAAGCTCTTGTGTGGGAGGTGATGACTAACTAAGCACATCCTAGATGAAGATGAACAAGGTGACTTAGCCTGGAGGCAAGTGGAAAACCCAGAATCAAGACGAGGTGGTCCAGATAACCTAGCAATGTCCCCCTGGAATGTATTCTGTTTCCAGGATCTCTACATACTCTGAAGAAATTTGGTTTAAAGTGAGATGGTGTTTGCTCATATGTACTCATTCCCAGGACCTGCTCTGGCTGCTATAGTGGAATTTTCATGATTTGCTCCTGCCATGTTCATTCCTGAGAGAGAAAAGTAACTGCTTCTTCTATTCACCTGCTTGTTTTTAACTAGAGACAATGATATCAGTCTCTTTTCTTACTTATCAAGTGACCTTGCTACAAAGGTCCATCCTCTTTTCAGAACTGCATCTCATTTTCAACCATATATGATCCTCAAAACAGTCACTCTTACTTAGAAAATCTGCCAATCCCAGGTAAGCTATGGGACGATGGGATGTATCCATAATTCAATCAACTGCCTTTTCTGATAGCATCTTTATCTACATGTCATTAATGAAGAGAAATCAAAGACTCAACAGTAGAGGAAGCAGTCAGAGGCACGGTGTGAGATTTGAGGGTGAAGGACTGGGTCTTACGGCAGCTGTCAGGCTGGCCTGCATTTCAGTTTGACGTCTATCACTGACTAGTTCTCTGAGAGCTAGGAAGTCATTTACCCTCTTGGGACACAGTTGCCTCATCACTAAATGTAAGATGGAGACACTCTGAATCCGCTGGTTCTTTCCCTTTATTCAAGTCCAGGCAGACTGCTGGAGAAAGAGAGCATCTAGTCAACAGGATGCCAACAGGCAACCAAGGCATTCAACCCAACAGTCTATAAGGAACTGCATCCTGCTGGTATCCACAGCAGCGAGTCTGGAGGTAGATCTTCCTCCAGGTAAACCTTGGGATGACCTCAGTCCTGGATAGCATTATGTTTGCAGTCCCTGACAGGTCCTGAGCCAGAGCACCCAGCTAAGCCAGACACAGATTCTTCACCAATGAAACAATAACATAATGGATGTTGTCTTGAGGTACTAGCTTGAGGGGTAAATTGTTAGGCACGGATAAGTAACTGGTATGTTAGCAGATAGTAGGTATTTAGTGTGTCTCTTCTTCAAGATTGCCCCCAGTGACTTGAGGTGAACCTTTGTAGCTCCAATTTAAGACATCCAACATTAGAAATAATGTGACACATTTCCTAATAGTGATATTAAAAATAAGTGGGTGAGACTGATATATTTGGTTATTGTCAATACGGTACTTCTGTATCATAGCATGCATATATATAGTGCCCATCAGGTATATGTGGCTATTGGGTAACAC